TCTCTCTCTCACACCCCCCCTCTCTCTCTCTGACAAGTAAACGAATCAGGGCGTCCACTCATTAAATGTTGGCTTTTGACTTTTAATTTGCAAATGCCCAGCTGGTGACTTACTGTCTCCCTATACATAAGATAGAGAGCAGTCGACGTCACACTTGCCTGTCCCTGGCCACGTTCTCCTATCTAGGCACATCCAGGCCTTGGGTGATTGCCTCATCCCTTACCGTGCCTCTATAGCTTCCAGTTCATATAATAATATCCTGCTTCTCCATTTTAACCATACACAGCATTGCTTTCGGTAACAGTGTCAAATTAAAGCTCCCCGTAATTCTTCCGTTCTTCCGTTTACATGTATAAGTGGTAAGACCCCATGAGCATCAACATTTATTGATGATTTCTCTATGAGGGTCGCCCTGTTTTGATGTGACACCATAAAGGCATACATTTTGTGACGCAACTGGTAATTTGACAACTAATGTTCATTGCCTTTAGCGCAACGCTTACAGATTGGAAAAGGAACTAAGTTTTATAATTTTTTGTTGAATTAAGTGATTTTTTACGCTCTCATTGACACAATTTAGATCAATTAGGGTGCGGGCTTTTTTTTGTGTGAACCGTTCTGAACCTGCCTGTCTGGTTCAAGCCGGGCTGAGGGGGATACAACACCGCAGCAGAAAGATCGATAAAAATTCTCCACACTTTGGAATCGAACCTTCTGCATTCGACAGCGAAGTACCTTACCGTCATACACAGACACTTGTTGGTCTGCTAGCTTTGTTGGATTGAACATTTGACACTATCTGTCGCACTGCCCCCCCCCCCCCCCCCCCCCCCCCAACTGCTCTTTGGAAAAGAAAAAAAAGCAAGTTAATTGAACTTTACGCATAATATGCAGAACAACAGTCTAGTACATGCACACAGTGACATCGACAGGATGCGGAAACCTTTTGGATCTGCACAAAAGTCACTTTGTGCTCGCTAGACTGTAGATCTAGATTGTTTTAGCATTGACTCATTTATCGTTTATAGTATAGGGTGTGATACTTATTAAAAACCCCGAACAAACAAAAACAACACACAAAAAGTCAAAGATCCGGTACGTATCCCCCGCGGCTGATTTTTCTTCTTCTGGTCTAGTTGAATTGAACATCTTCACTCTTCCTTCCTCTCTATCTTGTTTTCTCGTTGCCTCACTTATTGTTCATAATACTGGATGTTTATACTTGAAACACAAAAAACAAACACCCCCCAACCAACAACAACCAACCCCCCCAAAACAAACAACAACAACAACAACAACAACAACAACAGCAAAAACAACAAACAAACAATAAAAAACCAACCCCAAAACCACACGCCCCGTAAAAAAAACAACAACAACCCAAAAACCCCAACAACCCCAAAACAAAACAAAAACCATCGAACAGACGAAAAACCCGCCAACTATCATTTCTCTTGACTTCTCCGTTTTTTCAGTTGTTGCTGTTAAAGTTTGGTGTGTGTGTTTTTTTTGTTGTTGTGTCATTTAACAGAAGACGGGCCTTTTATTTACCGCGGCCCAGGAGTCGGTAAAGATAGCGGTCCCAAGAACAACATTGTCGGGGGCGATACTGCTGATATCGGCACATATGCTTATCATGCAGGCATAATGGTAAGCGAGGTTTTTATGGGTCTTCATCTGAAGTTATGGGGGTGGGGGGTGGGGGGAGGGGGGGCTACACTCCGAAAGTCACGATTCGGCTCAAAATTATGGAATTTGAGTGTCAGACATTTTTAGCTTCCCCAGCCTCTCCTACAACTATTCGATGGCATAAGTAAATGTACACCTAAAAGCCTTATCCCCCCCGCCCCCATACCGGGCATGTTTGTCACCACCTTTTTCTCATACAGTCAATTTTTTTTATTTTCTTTATCGGCTGTTTTCTAAAAACGCAATTTTTCTCTATATTTTTTTGAATAACTCCACCATTTTTCTTCCAATCTCCATTTGAATTTTTGATATATGGAATAGATTTTTGTTGGTGGTGTCCGGAGTGTGGATCTTTACGCATTTTTGGCCAACTTGAATACTACAGCAGGGAAAAAAAATAAAATTTTCTAATTCGTTTAGGAAGAAACCAACAGACGAATTTTTAGATATAATTTTTGCTAACATGCATGCAAAAAAAAAAAAGAAAAACATTTTCCATGAAAACTAAGTGCGGTATTGATTACGTAAGACATGTCAACAAAATCCAATATGGCCGCCGTATCCATGGAAACGAAATTTTTCTTTCTCAAATTTGATTGTGGATTTTAAGACTCCTTACTATGCTTGTTATATGTGCGAAATTTGGTCTACTAATAAGCGAGATAGCCTCCAGGCGTAGCCCCCCAACCCTTAAGTATGATGAGGAAGATGATTATGATGATCTACTACTACTACTGCTACTACTACTACTACTACTACTACTACTACTACTACTACTACTACTACTACT